GCCGGAGGTCGAATGCCGAGGCAGGGACTTGGGGAGTCCTTTTGGGACGACGGGTCCACGATAGATACCCCCCCTCTTGTCCGAAGAGAGAGTCACGGGAGGAGAAGGACTGAAAAAGACTCGCACCGTTAACAAGAAGACGGCTGGAAAAGGAGGCTACCCTGGAGTCGATTCTTGAGGGCCTGACCAGCTCTATGGAAGGAGTCGATTGGGGGCCTGACCGGAACGATGCTCAGTAACCGGGAGCAGCAGTTCAGGGAGAGCAGGATATCGTTCGGGGTCCCTGGAAGTCCACGATGATCGTTAAGCCCCTTGCTGATTGTCGGGACGACAATCTTGAAGAGAAGGGGCAGTGTTACGCGCGCGCCCAAGTCGCTACGGCGCTCCCGTTGTCCGGATCCTGTCGGCAGGAAGATTGTTTACAAACAACGACTGTCAGTTGAGTTTGGAGCCAGCTGTCGTGCTGTGCGGACGCGTTTTTCACCCGAGCCGATCCGTTATGCTATTTGTGTTATAATTCCGTGTTATTTATGTCAACGTTTGTGTTCTGTGTTATGCATTAAAGTTCCTAGTTCCTTTTAAAAGTGGTTATTTATTTCGCGCGTCTCGCGAGCGGCGTCTCTTCGTGCGCGGCTTCAATATTTATCGAAGTCCTTGCCGTGGGCGTAACAATATATATATATATATATATATATATTTTGATAAAGTAGAAAACTCGAGTTTGAATATTATTCAACTCTTCTGGATCAGTCTTTAGAACAGTTATAACCTTACTTAGGATTAGCAACTTGTTGTTCAAATAAAAAATTTATTTTAGAATCAATCAAATCTGTAAAAAAGTTTTCACAAAATAACGGGATTCTATCTTTAACTTTTTAAATAAAATTATGACTTTCTATGCATAAAATGTTTTCTGCTATAATATTAAGCTGATCTTTTATTTCTTATTTTTTTGGATTTTCTAGAAGTCCATAAGGTCTAATAACATATCTTTATCAAAATCGTTTAATTCTTCAAAGAACTTCTTTGCTTTGTATATTAATCTTTGTTCTATTGGTGTTAAGAAATAAAAAAGATCTTCCAATAACATTTCTTACTTTATTTCTTTATCTAGCGAACCTAGTTTCAAGTATATGGATTTACATATATTCGTTGGAATTGATTTCGTTAAAACAATGGTAGCGGAACGTGTTTTTTTTTGTTTAACTGTGTGTTTTGTTTGTGTGACTTGTGCAATTTACAAGATTATCATCCATGCCGGTCTCCTGATTTTTATTACATCGTGTATACTTGATAAGGATCACAACCATATGGTCGAAACGTACTAATAAATCAATTTCTGGCTAGTTTGATCGATTATATTTCTTTGATCCCTTTATTTATTGGACTAGCGACATCAAGATATTCATAACCTTTTAAAATATTAACATATTTCTGTAATTACCTTTGTTAATATTGTAAAATTGCACTTCTCACTTCGATCAACACGTTAATTTGAGTAAGCTGTAAAATGTGTTGACATGTGTATAAAGAAGGTTATGCACAAAAATTCCGTCAATACTACAGCTAGTGTAGCCAACTGATGACTAGGGAATTTATTTATTGTGACATATGTGTACCATAATTTAAGCAATACACGACTGTTGCATAAAATAAAATTTAATCAAATCGACGACAAATGCATAAAAATAGTAATAGTAATTTTTATATTACAACGATAATTTCAAAAAATATTGACGTTTTTCAAAACAAATTTTTACAATAAAGTGACAATTGCGGAAAATAATAAATTTTAACATTACTCAGATGGTTGTAAAAAATAAATAATTTTTTAAAGAAAGCCACTTAAATTAACACAATTATACACTTCTCATAATCTATAACTCTATAATAATATATATTTTAAAAGAAATTAAATTTGATTAAATGTATAACAACGCACCCTTGCACCTCCCTAATCATGCCCAGCCAATGACCGCTGGAAGCTGCCGCCCGGCAGAACACCCACCGGGCAAGGGCAGGGCGCTTTGCGCCACATTTTCAAAACTTTATCAAACAGCGTTAGTTTAAGTGTCGTTAAAAAACGAAGCGCGCCGACGACGGCCGACGAATCCCGAACGAATGGGCTGAGTCCACCCGCGCCCGGCGCCGCCTCGCTCCACGAACAAAACACCGAATTTTCAACCCGTTCGGTGGGGGAAACCAGGAGGCACGCCGGCGCCAACTAATTAGGCCGGTATAAAAGAGTCTGCCAAGACACCTCCAGGTGATCCAGACACCTTTTTTCCTCCCAGCTTCTCAACGCGAGCAATCGCCAAGAGCTAGCAAGGAAACCTGGAAAGCGTTCCAAAGGCTAAGGAGACCAAGCGGTGGAGTGTGCTCCGCCACAACGAGGAGTTCCTCGAATCTCACCAGCCGAGCGCATCCTATATTGCAGGCGTGCATCAGATTGGGGAGTACCCCGATTTATCCGGGAGTTCTCGGACACGCACATATCCCACACTCCATCCTTATCCGGCCGGTACGAAAGGAGGTAGAGAGGAGAGCTGCCCTCGGCGGGACGTTCCCGCTAACGCCGGCTGATCCCGAAATTCCCATCGAATTATCCGTTTCGAGAAATTTACGCGAAGTTCCACGTAAGGCGAAAACAATATCAAAGAAAAAGAATCGTCAACACACACGCCGACACGTCACGCGGTCATTGCCCTTACCGCGAGTTAATACAGCGCGATCAAATTATTTCCGCTAAATTCACGAACGCGCACTCCGACGGCAATCAAAATTGCACTATCGGGTATCCAACCCTTCCGCCCTTCGATTACTGTGAACTTTACGATTACGCCGCATAAATCCACTAAGCAAAACCACGACCACCGCAATGTGAAATCGAGAGGTGCATTCGATCTAGCTAGGCACTGACTGTTTACGGCGAGTTTTTGCGCCCGGCGTCACACGTTTCTTATAACAGTTCTTGTATTCGCGCCAACAGCGATTTTAATCCGTCGAACGCATACGACTACGTACATTTGCGCATACATACACACCCACACATACTCTTGTATTTCTTATTTTTTTCTATTCTTTCTGTAAATCTTTAAATAAACTCTTATTACAATTTAAAAGCACGCACGTTTTGATTCACGCTTGCCTAACCCGTTCCTTGGAACTTACGACTGCATTTATCCGCGGCACGAGCAAAAAACGTCCGTTACAAATGTAATATTATTAGTATTGCAAAAAATTTTTTAATTTATTTTTTAAACAAAATATGCTAAAACATTTTTGGTAGTACCATACAAAATGCATTAAATCGAACATTTAAAAAAAATAAATGTTAGAATTTATGAAATCATGTAAATATAATATTAAGAAAGAAATAACAGATTCCATAAAATCGTTTCCATAAGATGTAATTATGATTTCTTCTATTGAGATTATTGCATTATTAATAAATAGCAAAACAGCATAGAAAACCGTTTCTTATTCTGTATAATCAATAAAAAACATTTCGGTGCATAAAATGATAATCGTTTTAGTCGATAAAACAGGAAAGTCCGGCATCTTCTTAAGAATATTGTGTGTATATAAGGTTTTTTTACATCCTACTGATCTATTCTATCATCTTCTATAATAGATCTGTTTAACATTTTCCATAGTTATAAATGTGTTGTCAATAATCGGTTTCTCTTCAAACGAAATCTCTCAGCGAGAGTCAAGATTAGATATAAAATGAACTTCGCTTTTTCTTGTAAAGTACATGCGCGGATACAATGGGTTTCGCCCTTCCCCCCTCTCTGTATGGGAGCTCCATTTTCGAAAAGTATAACTTATCTAAAACCTATTTCTGATTTATAATTAAAATTTGATTATATTATATCTTTCGGAAGTAAAACTTCCCCATGAGGAAGGAACTCATTTTATTCACACATATACTTTACAAAACAAAGCGAAGTTCAATCTATATCTATGACTTTGACCCTTGCTGAGTTGGCATTTTTCAATTGTTGACAATATATTTATCATGGAGCTATAAGAAGAATCAAATACATTAGTACGATATACATTAACGACATATCTATGTACAAATTTTTTAATATCAATTGATAATGTTTAAGAAAAGTGTTAAAATTATCAAACTTGTTATATCTTCTAAACCAATCTGTTCAATGCGATGCGTCCTTTTCTTTTTTTTTTATTATATATATATACGAGGAGAGAGCTTTATTTGTTCCATTCTTGTTCATTGTAAAAATATATCATTATCCTGCATGTCAATTCTTTATTTTATTACATACGTACGCGTATTCTATTTTTTGTTATTAAATACATTTGTTTAGTTATATTTGAACTCGCGCGTTTTGCAATGCAAGTCTAATAAAGCGAGGAGCCGGAAGAAGAGTTGGCGTTAGTAGCGCGCGGAAGTCAGTAAAAAAAAATTATTGTACTGTACAAGCAAGCCGTTAGCAATAAATGCATCAGATACATACAAGGCATAGTATCATCATTTAACCCATTAACTTGGAAAATAATAATACCGTTCACAAGGTATTAACATTTGGACCTTCGAGCCGGATTACAGTAAAAGGTCCGGATGTATAAACACAAAGAAAAAAAAGAAGCCATCTTTAACCTAAAAAACAAGCACGTGTTCCTTTATTCTTATCGCTCACAAGCAAGAAATATATAAAGAATCAAAGGTAAAATATAAAGAATCCAAGGACTAAAGGAAACGCAGTGACGCATCCAAAGAACGAGAATAGATCGACATAAGCTAAAATACACATAATATAGACTAAGTACAAACGTGAAACACACTGAGCGTATGTAGGTCGGTAAGAAATGCTTATCTCAGGTAAAATCACTTCAACTCTTTTCCTTTCTTATATATTAAAAAAGATGATATTGTTATTCTCGTCATATCTTTTCATATTAATTAATAAATATAAGATATCATAGCTTTCTCAAAGTAACACTTAATCGCGTCTTTCATTAAATTCAAAATGTCAGAGCAAATATTAATTAAGAAAAGAAGCCACATTAAGGCCAAATTAACTCGATTCATCAATTTTTTGAACGACTGTGACAACGACGAGCAAAAAAGACAAGAAACACAATCGCGTCTGGAAAAAATCGAGTTAATATGGAAAGATTTTGACGCGGTGCAAACCGAATTAGAAGATTTAAACGAAACTGAGCTGGAAGGCGAGGAACGCGATTCATTTGAAAATAAATTTCATCGCGCAATCACTACAGCCAGAAATATAATTTCAACATTACAAAGCAGGGCGGCGCCTCAAGAGCAGCGAGTTCAAATGTTGAATCAACCCATTAACATAATCCAGCCAAACAAAATGCGCTTGCCTACGATTGAAATTCCAAAATTTGACGGCAGCTGGGAAGAGTGGCTGCCATTTCGTGATACCTTCACGTCCATGATTCACGACAATGAAGCACTGCCCGCCATTGACAAGTTGTATTACTTAAGATGGGCTTTAGTAGGAGATGCGTACAAGCTCATCGAATCATTAGAGGTAACGAATGAAAATTATCAAATTGCTTGGGAAATCGATAAACAAACGATATAAAGGCAATAAAACCATAATTCAGAATCACGTTCAAGCATTGATAAACTTCCCATGCATTTCAAAGGAATCGCATTCCTCGCTCCGCCAGTTAGTAGATACGACATTGCAACATATACGTACGTTAAAGCGATTAGAGCAGCCCACGGATAGTTGGGACACACTACTTATTCAATTATTTATACCAAAACTAGATAGCAATACTCGACGTGAGTGGGAGTCTGAAAGAGCAGATAAGGAAGAGCTTCCAAGGATGGAAGACTTTATTAATTTTCTGGAAACAAGATGCTCCTTCTTAGACGCCTTAACACGCACTAGTATGCTTAATTTGTCAAAGAGTGTACAGGGTCATTCTAAGCAGCAAGCTATCAAACAATCTAGCCAAATCCAAGCTCACTTTAGCACGGAAAGTTCAACTTGTCCAATTTGTCAGAATACGCACAGAATATTTGAATGCCTCATATTTCGCAACATGTCAACACAAGCTCGTCATGAAAGAGTTAAGAGCAGTAAATTGTGTTACAATTGTTTGAAACCATTTCACGATAAAAAATGCACTTCAGGCTCATGTAAGAAGTGCCATAAATATCATAATACCTTGCTCCATTTCGACAAAGCTGCTGATTCGAATGGCTCTCCAACGAAAATCGAAAAGGACAAAGAAGCCGCAAGGCAGCATACTTCAAATCTTTCAGCAGAATCTAATAATTCGGCCGAGTCTAGTAGTAGTAAACAAAGTGTAAACAATTCCTTATCTTCTTGTCATACGCAAGGTTCCTTTTCGCACGTCTTGTTGTCGACAGCAATAGTTCACATGCGTGGCCATTCTGATAAATTGTATGAATGTAGAGTCTTGTTAAATTCGGAATCGCAGTCCAATTTTGTTTCGCGGGAGTTGTGCGAGCGCTTAAGACTGCCTCAACGAAATAAACATACAATCATAGCCGGAGTCAACAACGCTTCGTCTACATCGCAGAATGAGACAACCGCTACAATTTATTCAAGATTTAACAAATATCAAGAAACATTATCATTTTTAGTACTAGACAAGGTCACTAATAAAATGCCAGCAATGACTATTGACGTGGATTCATTTTAAATTCCATCAAACATCAAGTTGGCAGATCCGACGTTCCACTTACCAGGCAAAATAGATTTGATTTTAGGTTCGGAAATTTTCTGGAAACTACTATGCGTCGGGCAAATTCAACTAGGCAAATCGAGTCCTATTTTTCAAAAAACAAAACGGGATGGATAATATCAGGAACTGCAAATCCCGTTCTTAAACCAGGGCATGTTGTACAATGTCATTCTGCTCAAAAAACAACGTTACATGATCAGTTAGAAAAATTCTGGCGACTCGAAGAGGTGCAACAAAAGATACACTTGACTGCAGAGAAGCAGAAATGTGAAGAGCATTTCCGCAAAACGCATTCACGAGAAAGAGATGGAAGATTTGTCGTACAGCTCCCCCTGAGGGATAACTACGTTCAGTTAGGTGAATTTTATGATATGGCCAAGCGTAGGTTGTTCAGCTTAGAAAGAAAGCTGTCTAGACAACCTGAGCTCAAGCTGCAATATGATGCCTTTATGTAAGAATATATAAATCTTGAACACATGAAACGCATTTCAAATTTCGCTGACTATCACCAAAACTCAGAAACTCGTAGTATCACATATTACTTACCACATCACGCAGTTCTTAAGCCAGACAGTAGCACCACACGTTTACGGATTGTCTTTGATGCGTCCGCAAAAACAAGCTGTAGTTTGTCTTTAAATGACGTTCAAATGGTAGGACCTATTAGTAGGATACTATTATTAATAGGATAATATTCAACAAGATCTATTCAATATTACAATGCGTTTTCGTCAATACACTTATGCGGTCTCTGCTGACATATCTAAAATGTATCGCCAAATAAAGGTAAAACAGGAGCAATGCAAACTACAACGCATTCTATGGAGGTTTATTCCAGGAGAGGAGATACAGATATACGAGCTTGAAACAGTTACTTATAAAGAGGCTTGCTCATCATTTCTAGCCATTCGCTCGCTTCACCAAATCGCGAGAGACTTACAACAACGACATCCGAAAGCCGCCGAGATAATCATCCGTGATTTTTATGTGGACGATCTCTTGACCGGAGGTGACGACATAGGTGACCTGCTGCGGTTAAAGAAAGACATCACAACAGTTCTTCAATCCGCCAAGTTCGAACTTCATAAATGGAAATCGAATCACCCTTCATTAGTAGATGTAAACAAAGACAGTCTCACGGTGCAATTGGATGAAGACACAAGAATCCTCGGACAATTATGGGATACTCAACGTGACACCTTCCGCTATACAAGTACATCCGGCCAATTGAAAGGGACAACGAAGAGACAAGTATTGTCTTGTATTGCTCAAATATTTGATCCGTTCGGGCTGTTAAGGCCTGTTGTCGTCACATCCAAGATAATCATGCAACAATTATGGCAAGCGAAATTAAAATGGGATGAATCACTGCCTGTTCAGCTTCATACCCGATGGATACGATGGTATGGAAAAATTTCACATCTCGGTCACATAAAAATACCTCGGCGTGTGATATGCAATGATCCCATACGCATAGAATTGCACAGATTTTGCGACGCCTCCGAGCGTGCGTACGGCGCATGTATATACGCACGCAGTACAAATTCATCTCAGGAGCATTATGTTAAGTTGTTGTGTGCCAGGTCTCGTGTAGCTCCACTGAAGACTGTATCCTTACCCAGACTGGAGCTCTGTGGTGCGTTGTTACTATCTCAATTATATCAACGAGTGATAGAAGCTTTGAGCATAAATATCGACAGCGCCCATTTCTGATATGACTACACTATAGCGTTAGCATGGATAGCCGGAGATCCTAACAAATGGTCAATCTTTGTCGCCAACCGCGTGGCCGAGATTCAAAAATTAACACTCAATGGACAATGGCATCACATACATTCAGAATTAAATCTAGCTGACGTTCTCTCGCAAGGAATAAACCCAGACGAAATTAAAGTGCATAATCTTTGGTGAAATGGGCCTTCCTTTTTACAAGAGGACTACATGGAAATTATATGGAATTCTCCATCGTTACCACGGATTGAGGAGATACCTGAGAGGAAAAGGCAAGCCATTGTTTTAATAGCAACACCAACAGGGTACGCAACCATCATAAGCAAGTTCTCATCTCTAATTAGACTTAGGCGAACAATCGCTTACTGCTTGCGTTTTGTGAAAAATTCAAGGCAAAAGGCAACGGATAGCAACAGCAAATTCACTGGACCTCTGCAAGCAGAAGAACTTGAACACAGCATGCAAATTCTTCTGGCCATGGCACAAAAGGAAAAATTCTCCGAAGAAATTCAGCAGCTATCGCATAGAAAGAGGTTGTCTCCTAAAAGCAAGCTGCTACCGCTTCATCCCTTCCTAGACACCAATGATTTACTGCGAGTTGGAGGGCGGTTACAAAGGGCTCAATTGGACTATAGTCAGTGACATCCGATAATTCTGCCTAAAGGACATCACCTTACTCACCTAATTATAATGGAGGAGCATTTAAAAAATTTGCATGAGGGAGTGCAATCTCTATTAGCCATAATACGTACACGCTATTGGCCTATAACAGGAAAAAATATCATTAGAAAGGTATTGCACAAATGCATAGTCTGTTGTCGAGCTCGCGCTACTCCCGCTGAACAATTAATGGGAAGCTTGCCTGCGTCACGTATTCTACCCTTACCACCCTTTTCCACGAGTGAAATAGATTACGCGGGACCTTTCAATATCAAAATCAGTCGAAACAAGTCGGGCAAGGCATGCGTCTTCGTATGTTTTGTCACAAAGGCAGTACATTTAGAAATTGCATCAGATCTAAGCACTCCAGCGTTTTTAAACGCGTTAAGATTCATAGCAAGGCGCGGTAAATGTCTAAACATCTACTCAGACAATGGCACAAACTTCGTAGGAGCAAACAATGCGTTAAAAGAAATGTATCTTATGATCAATACGAGCAACACCGAAATTCATGATTATTTATCCGAACAAGCAATCAAATGGCATTTTCTTCCCCCGCAATCACCGCACATGGGAGGTTTGTGGGAATCTGCGATCAAGGCAATTAAAAATCGATTAACAAAAATTATTGATTTCATTAACCTTTAAAGAATTAACGACTGTAGTCACACAGGTAGAAGCTGTATTAAACTCGAGACCACTTACGCCCATGTCGTCTGATCCAGCTGACCTTAGCGCTCTAACACCAGGTCATTTTTTAATTGGACGTCCACTTGTCGCTATATGTGAGCCAGATATCACGGACGTCAGTGTAAATCGCCTTAATCGTTACCAACTCTTAGAGCAAATAAGGCAAAATTTTTGGAAGCAATGGTCAATTGAATATTTGACGCAACTGCAGCAAAGAAACAAATGGAAAAAGGAACAAGACTCGATAATTAAGGGCACTATGGTCCTACTGCGTGATCAAAATACTCCGCCCATGAGATGGCGTTTAGGTAGAGTTGTAAATGTACAACCAGGCCGCGATAACCTGGTTAGAGTGGTTGATGTAAAAACTAGCACTGGCATATACCAGCGGCCTTTAAGCAAAATTTGTATTTTACCCGTCGAAACGTAAGATAACATTGAAAGCCAAGGCTTCCAAGGCCGGCGGTATTGTTCAATGCGATGCGTCCTTTTCTTTTTTTTTATTATATATATACGAGGAGAGAGCTTTATTTGTTCCATTCTTGTTCATTGTAAAAATATATCATTATCCTGCATGTCAATTCTTTATTTTATTATATGCGTGCACGTATTCTATTTTTTGTTATTAAATACATTTGTTTAGTTATATTTGAACTCGCGCGTTTTGCAATGCAAGTCTAATAAAGCGAGGAGCCGCGGAAGAAGAGGTGGCGTTAGTAGCGCGCGGAAGTCAGTAAAAAAAAATTATTGTACTATACAAGCAAGCCGTTAGCAATAAATGCATCAGATACATACAAGGCATAGTATCATTGTGCGAGATCGCGGTAGGAGACAAAGTGACAGCGAGAATAGTTTAAAACTAAAATTTATTTTACACTTAGTCTTATTTACAATAAAAAATTCACTATCTATCGATAGCGGGTTTATCATAAAATGTCTCTTTTTAAGGCTCAATAATATAGCGCGGAAAGCAACGCGATTTTCTAATTTGAAGGGACAAAGTATAAAAGTCCGCAAGCGACGGACTCCAGAAGACTGGCGAGAACTTCTGGTTTTATAAAATTCGTTTCCGAGGAATAGCGCACTGTTGCTTAGGAATACTAACGCAAGTGAGAGAGGACGGTCGCGCGAAGGGGTTTATATATCAACAGGACGCTAGAAGTCGCTCGAATTTTCTAGACTTAGAATTTTCTAGTCGTGTTTATTTGTTGATAATGTTTCAAAGTCAAGACTAGCTTATTGCTCTGTTGATATATGCCCCTCCTTTCGGGCGATCGTTTGGTGGAAAGACGTTAATAATTCAAAGTAAAAAGTCGCGCTCGGATTCGTAAAGATTCTTATAAGCGTCGCGCGCGCGCGTTGGCTGCCGCCGTTATGAGTGTACGGCGCGGCTAATGCAAAATGCGATCGCGAATTACTCTGCCCATTTTTTGGCAGATTCGTTCATTTTTTTTTTAACATTCCGCCCGCCTCGTATGGGAAACCGATACGATCGAGACACTCCCTTTTAGTTAGATGTCGCCGAAGGGAAGTATCATGTAGTGAGCAAGTGAGTGGAGTGTGACGGTGTTCTTGCTGATGCTAGGTGTACAAAGATAAGTAGATACTGATTTCAAATTTATAGAAATACTATTAATCGATAATACCATTAATTGATAAGAAAGACTAAATTTCTAATTAAAAATAATTAGTAGAAGGAAAGTACAAAATTAAATGATAATAATATAGTTTTTTCTTTTTTTTTTTACGACTCGCCGTCTCCTCTGGCGCAGGAGTTGATGGGGAGGAGCACTAGTTTGTTGACAGGTCGTGTTAGGCTGCTGGTGGAGGTGCGCACGTCAACGACTCGTATGTGGCCGTCTCTCCCAGGGTAGATGCTCTCAATTCTTGCTAGGGGCCATTTATTAGGTGGTGATATTTCACTCCGGAGCAGACACAGGCGGCCGATGCGGACTTCCTCGTCGGCCTTGAACCATTTTGGTCGATGCGTCAGAGAGTGGAGGTACTCTCGCGACCACCTAGTCCAGAAGCTGTCTCGCATCTGGCTAATCAGCCTCCACCTGGTGAGTAACGTCTTTGGCTCTTCGGCAATTGGTGAAGTTGGAATGGCATTAAGCGCGGTGCCTACGAGGAAATGGCCAGGAGTCAGCGCTTCGAGGTCCTCTGGGTCGTCCGACATGGGTTGCAGCGGCCGAGAGTTGAGGCAGGATTCAACTTGTGCAAGAAGCGTGGCCATCTCCTCGTAGGTCAATTTTGCGTCTCCGACCACACGGCGAAGGTGATGCTTCACTGACTTAACGGCGGCCTCCCAGAGACCGCTGAAATGAGGAGCGGCTGGTGGATTGAATCGCCACTCAATTCTCTCGTCTGCTAGGTAGTTATGGATTTGACGTCCTTCCTTGCTGCTGGCGGAAAAGAGCGCACGTAGCTGTTTATCGGCACCCACAAAATTAGTTCCGCGGTCGCTGTAGAGGATTTTACATAGGCCGCGACGACTGATGAATCGACGCAGGGCGGCCAAGAAGGCATCGGAGGTATAGTCGGAGGCGACATCAAGGTGGACCGCGCGGCAGCTGAGACAAACAAATATTATTAGGAATGACTTATAAGCTCGATGGCCTCGACCCTTGGAGGTGCGTAACCAGATTGGTCCAGCATAGTCGACGCCCGTGTGCAAAAAAGGCCGTGAATGCATGACCCTCGGGGCTGGCAAGTTACCCATTGGTGGCTGAGGAGAAGCCGCCCGCCAACGCAAGCACGGCAGACAGCGGTGAATGTAATTCTTCACCAAAGCTCTTCCACGTATAAGCCAGTACTCCTGGCGCAGGGAGGTCAGGGTAAGCTGCACTCCTCCATGCAATGTTCGCAGGTGCGTGGCCTTGATCAGTAGCTGCGTTATATGAGAGGTGCTGGGAAGTAATGTCGGGTGCTTCGCCTCGCGAGTCATTGAAGCATTGCCCAGCCGTTCGCCGACGCGTAGTATGCCCTTGTTGTCGAGGAAGGGGCTTAGTTTGGCTAGCGCGCCCTTTGCAGGAAGTGGAGTGGGTTTTTGTACTAACTTTATTTCTTTTTTAAAGTTGATAGATTGGACCACCCATATCCAGCCAGTCAGCGCTTCAGCTAGCTCGGAAGGTAGCAGGACGATAGCGGGGAGATCGTCGCCGGCTCTTTGGACCATTCTTTCAGACTTCCTGAGGCGTAACCGACGGCGGCACCAGGAGGTGATCCTCAACAGGCAGTACAGTTCGGAGAATCGCGTTAAAAGCTCCGGTTCATTGACCGAAATTTTAGTTACAGTGGTTTGGTGAACGCCGAGACGAAGCTCAGGCAGTTCGGCGTCGTGGATGCGGGCAGGATCGGGCGGTCATTGTTCTCGACCTCCTTGTAAGCAGGGGGGGCCGCTCCACCAGAGTGGGTGATCTTTCAATTCCGAGGGAGACAGGCCTCGAGAAGCACAGTCGGCTGGATTGTCTCCTCCAGGAGTGTGGTGCCACGCGACGTCTGGTAACGTGGTTTGGATTTCGCTGACCCTGTTAGCCACGTAAGTCTTCCAGGAAGCTGGGTGGCCTCGGATCCATCCTAAGACGATGGTGGAGTCAGTCCACATATGCATCGAGGTGGTCGCGGCATCCAGAGTTAGGCGGGTGTGAGCGACAAGCCGTGTCAGCAGGGTAGCGGCGCACAACTCCAACCGAGGTAAGGTAACCTGCTTCAGAGGTGCTACTTTAGTTTTGGCAGAGAGAAGAGTTACCTTGACTTGATTGTCCTTGTCTCGTATGAGCCGGTAGACTACGGCGGCGAAAGCTTTCTCTGAGGCGTCGGCAAATCCATGGATTTCCTGTGTACTGTCGTTTGGTCCAGACGCAAGCCAGCGAGGAATCCTGATGTTCCCTAGGTGCGGGAGCTCTGCCTGCCAGCTTCTCCATTGATGGACGTCATTCTCGGGCAAAGGGTCATCCCACTCGACGCCTCGCAACCAGGTGGCTTGGATCCAGATCTTAGCCCGTACCGTCACGGGGGAGAGCCACCCCAGCGGATCAAACAATCTGGCTGTCAAGGAGAGGACAGTACGTTTTGAGAAGACGTTCGGCTGAGTAATGGACATTGAAAAGGCGAAAGAGTCCTCGTGAGGGTGCCAAAGCAAACCCAGAGTCGAATGACTTTCTCCGGGTAACCACCACCGAGGTTCACGTTGTAGCCGATCCTCGGCGGGTACGTCGCTGAGTAGAGCGGCATCATTAGCGGACCATTTTTTAAGCGGAAAACCGCCCGCCCTGCAGATTCTGGTCAACTGCCGCAGAAGATCCTTGGCTTCTTTGAGCGTGGATGCGCCGGTGAGGACGTCGTCCATATAGATATCCTTGAGAAGGGCAGAGGCTCCGAGCGGGTAGCTTGACTTCTCATCAAGAGCAAGTTGATGCAGTGTGCGAATGGCAAGAAAAGGTGCGCAGGATAGTCCGTAAGTTACGGTTTTGAGTTGGTACTCCTGTATATTGTCTTCAGGGCTTGACCGCCACAGTATTCTTTGTAGATCTCGATCTTGATCATGGACTTCGATCTGCCGGTACATCTTTTCGATGTCCGTGGCGAGCACGTAGCGATGGCGTCGCCATCGAAGAAGCACGTCCGCTAGAGTCGGTAGAAGATTGGGTCCGCTGTGCAGATGCTGATTCAGAGAGGAACCCGTTGTCACAATCGCCGAGCCATTAAAGACTACTCGGAGTTTGGTCGTGACCGGCTAGATTTGCGGGTCAGCTGGAGCTCGCACCGGCTGCATGTATCCGAGCTCTATGTATTGCTGCATAAATTCTCGATAAAGAGTGTAGAACGAAGAGTCTTTAACGAAACGAATTTCCATTTGTTTCAGAGCGCGGAGAGCGATACGCCGAGTTCCGGAGAGATCGGGTAAGGATGCGGCTAGAGGCAGTCGCACAACGTACCGGCCGTCGGCCTTCCGAAAATGGGTGCGAACGTAGTGTTCTTCGCACTCGACTTCAGCCTTGGAGAGAGCGAGTGGAGCGGAGGGGGGCTCCTCCTGTGCCCATAGACGTCGCACCATCTCGGAGAGGTCTTCCTCCACTTGGCATTGATGTGAGCGCATTGTTGTCGGAGAAGGTCCGTCTTCGGCGGCTCCGAAGAGTATCCATCCTAAAATTGTGTTTTGAATTACAGGTTGTGACGAGTACCCTTCGTAACCAGCAAGAGAATTTCGCTATAGTGGCGAATGGAAGAAAAGGTGCGCAGGATAGTCCGTAAGTTACGGTTTTTGAGTTGGTACTCCTGTAATTGTCTAGGTCCGCAGAGACTCCTTGATCGGAAGGATCGGTGTACTGGATTCGCAGGATCCGATGAGGCAAATAGGACTGCAATGTGAGTTGTCCGAGCTGGAGCTCGCACCGGGCTGCCATGTATCCGAGCTCTATGTACTCGCCTGACGGTGCATGCATAGATGATTCTCGATAAAGAGTGTAGAACGAAGAGTCTTTAACGAAACGAATTTCCATTTGTTTCCAGAGCGCGGGAGAGCGATACGCCGAGTTCCGGAGAGATCGGGTAAGGATGCGGCTAGAGGCAGTCGCACAACGTACCGGCCGTCGGCCTTCCGAAATGGGTGACTTAGCTTGAGGAGTGGAGGGAGGGGGTCTTGTGTAGACTCGCACCATTCGAGGTTTCTACTTGGTCATGTTTCGAATGTCTTCCGGCTGGTTCTTTTTTTTTTTTTGTCTTTCTGACCAGCAGGAGTGGGGGAGACTACTGGATCGCCGGTCAGGACGGGGTGCACTTGAGTGTGCGGTCTGGGGGGGGGCGGAGGGGGGGGGGGGGGGCTGGGGGACCTCATCGAGGAGCATGGTAGTGTGATCGCCGTGAGGTGCTCGTCTGGAGATCGACCGGCGACGACCGGAGAGTGGGTAGATGTATTTTCGCAGACGATGGGATGATCGGACGGGCTGATCGAGTAGGGCGGCGGGATGATTCGTTACGATCGGCTCGTATGGCGCGGAGGGGGGGGGTCCAGCATCGTAGGGAACGTGTGCTTGTAGTGTTCGGTTCCTGAAGGGTCATGGGGGTGGTGTCGATCCATGGGTAGGAGGGCAGTCGTCACTGTGGCGGAGGCGTGAGGCAAGTTATGGTCAACGTGTGCTTCGTCGGACGCGGTTTTTTTCTTGTAGGAGTCACATAGCATTATGAAGTGGTCTTTCTGACAGAGTGAACACTGTCCTCGCGATCCCTCCGACTTTGCCTCCTGTTTTCGCGTGTGGTGACTCCGCGTCGTCCTCGGTTCTGACTTAGAGGAAGTACGATCAGCCATATTCACCGGTGCCATCGACTCGAGGGTGTGCAACCGTCTCTCGAAAAATTGTTCGAGTACTTTATACGAAGGAGGTTCTACCGAATCGCTAATAGAGTTTTCCCACTCTCGACGTGAGCGAGTGTCGAGCAACTCGACCGCGAGATAAACGAATAAATCTTCGCAGCTTGAGATTGGCCGATTTATGCTTTCGAGCGAGCTGACCACCGACTTCACGCCGTGGAAGATTTTGCGCAATTCCGTCGCCGATTCATTCTTAAGTTTTGGGAGCGCGAAAAATCTCGCAAAGTAGGCGCGCACGAGCAGTCTCTTATTTTCATAGTAAGCACTTAGCGCGTCCCATGCTCTGGTGAAATTCTCGGACGTTGTCGATAGATCGCGAATCAATAATTCAGCTTCGCCCTTTAAGCAGGTTTTTAAATAATGTAGTTTTTCTACTTGCGTTATAGAGGCATCCCTCTCAATTATGGAGATGAAGAGATCTCTGAAGGCTGGCCAGTCTTCGTACTTCCCCGAGAAGTGCGGCAACTGTATCCGAAGCAGCGTAGTGCGAGGGAGATGAGGTGGCGCTGAATCGACTCCTGCAGCAGCTGTCGTTTCCCTTTTGTCAAGGCCCTGGAGGAGAGCGCCCTTTTGCTGGAGGTATGCTTCTTCAGCCAAAAAAGGTAAATCTTGCTTGTAAGATTCATGGTCTAGAAGCGCATCTCGGTGAGGAAATAGCTCATCGTTTTGTTGGTCGAACTTACTCCACTTCTTTTCCAGACCCTGCAGGCAAGCCTCGACGACCCCTCGCGTGTTTTGACAATCTTACGGAGATTGTCGCCCGTTCGAGCGATTTTCCAGAAAAGATTTAGTTGAGCGTCCGCTAATTTCACTATCTCGACACTCATAGTCACTTGCTTCCTTTTCAGACGCTCAACTCAGAAGCTCTGAGCAAGCACGTGTAAAGACCGGATCACACACTGCACAAGCACGGCACACGGAAAAGTATCCGGCTCGAAGGACCAACAAATGTGCGAGATCGCGGTAGGAGACAAAGTGACAGCGAGAATAGTTTAAAACTAAAGTTTATTTTACACTTAATCTTATTTACAATAAAAAATTCACTATCTATCGATAGCGGGTTTATTATAAAATGTCTCTCTTTAAGGCTCAATAATATAGCGCGGAAAGCAACGCGATTTTCTAATTTGAAGCGACAAAATATAAAAGTCCGCAAGCGACGGACTCCAGAAGATCGGCGAGAACTTCTGGTTTTATAAAATTCGTTTCCGAGGAATAGCGCACTGTTGCTTAGGAATACTAACGCAAATGAGAGAGGACGGTCGCGGGAAGGGGTTTATATATCAACAGGACGCTAGAAGTCGCTCGAATTTTCTAGACTTAGAATTTTCTAGTCGTGTTTATTTGTTGATAATGTTTCAAAGTCAAGACTAGCTTATTGCTCTGTTAATATATGCCCCTCCTTTTGGGCGACCGTTTGGTGGAAAGACGTTAATAATTCAAAGTAAAAAGTCGTGCTCGGATTCGTAAAGATTTTTATAAGCGTCGCGCGCGCGCGTCGGCCGCCGCCGTTATGAGTGTACGGCGCGGCTAATGCAAAATGCGATCGAGAATTGCTCTGCCCATTTTTTGGCAGATTCGTTCATTTTTTTTGAACAATCATCATTTAACCCATTAACTTGGAAAATAATAATACCGTTCACAAGGTATTAACACAATCAATATTCTATCAATATTCATTTATCTTTTACAGGAAATTATTTAGGACGACTGTCTCTATAACATATTCAAGCGGCGATAAATCGGCTGTGTAATTTCTCATGCATTTTCATTTTAATTAAGTTACTTTAATTTCTTATGCATTT